GTGACCCAAGCGACTACCTACATATCACCCTCCAACTGCTCCATACCCAACATGCAGATGGCCGATTCGCCCTCTAATCGCGCGACGGTAGACAAACTACCGGAAAACCCATCAGCGGCAATAAATCTGTTGACGTGGAAGCATGGCATATGATGATCTTGCGGGGTTATCCTCCCTTCTGTGCTGCCGTGTCATCGTGCAACCGATCCACACCGAAGACGAAGATTTGTGAGTCGACGTCCAAGCAAGCGTGCACCCCGAAAACGCGCACCCCCTGCGTCCTAGCCACCTTCGTGCATGACGCGATCGCATCCAATCTTCCCTTGCGCTTCATCGCCGGTTATGCAACACTCCCCTTTACACTCACCACCGTCGACGCGCAGCCTTCAGATCGTCTTCCGGACCCACGACTGCACAGCGCCGTGCAAGTACTGCCTACCCCGGAGAGGGGGCTGCATGTGCGCCACGTAGAAGGCATTCCCGTGAAGCGCAGCCATGTGTTCATCAGCTATGGCGGACACCAGGTATCTAACGATGTCGCCGATGACATCACGTTCTGGGAGACGCCACTCGTCGGGGACGACTTCCGACAGCTTCTTCACGTTGAGGATGACGTCCACCAGGTTGCCTTCCTTGTTGTACTCGAAACCGCCGTCAATCTTCATCGCCAGGGTCCCTTCCACAATAACATAGTAGACAGGACTATGGAGATCAGCCGTGTCAGGGCTGAAATCCATCCGGCCGCAAGGGTGGCAACGCCGATCCACCTTCGTTTCCTGGACGACGACGGTTTTCCCGCCCACGATCTCCCACACCACCTCCTCGACCCCCGCCATCACTCTTTCTCTCTCTCTCTCTCTCTCTCTCTCTCTCTCTCTCTCTCTCTCTCTCTCTCTCTCTCTCTCTCTCTCTCTCTGAGTGTGTCGGTCCGCTCGCTCTCGCTCTCTCCACGACTGATGTGCACACGTACTCGGAAGGGGGCTTCGACTCCTGTCACCACAACCCGGCAGAGAGGCAGGCACAAGCGATCTCATGTCGAGACTCTGTCCAATCCGTGAATTTATAGCTCCGGACGAGGGCAAAAGATCCCACCCGCACGCGGAGTTTAACGACCAGCCCCCCCCCCAAACCCCCCCCAACCCCCCCCCAACCCCTGTGACTAGCCACCGTGGTGTCGGACCCGACACGACCCCTTCCATTCACCGAGGGATGCGGCAATGCACGAGCACTGGCAGTGACGGTCCGCTAACGGATGTGACAACCCTGTTATTTTTTTTTTTTTTTCGACATTCCTGTTTTTCTTCTACTTTCCCACATCTATTTTGTACCCTGTACCGTTTGTTACCAGCCTCTTCACTACCCACCGCTTTGAAGGATCGGTGCCCCTACACCCGCCCGGTACTCCACGGTCCGTCCCAATTCCGGGCACCCATCACACCAACCAGGAGCTGCAGCACAATGTTCCCTTCACCCATGGCTGATGCGACTGCACCTATCTGCGTCGCCATTTCGCCTATGCTCCCGGTGACGATGGTGGCACCTTCCTTGTTCGCCTGAGCAATCGTCGCCGCGGGTCTATCTAAATGGTCCACGTACACATGTGTGGACACAACCATGGCAGCTCCCACAGACGACACAAAAGATGGGTCATCTCCAACATGGACTCTGCTGCCATTTGTTCGCCTGAACTTCGACCTACTACCCGGTGTGTCGGACCCTCCTTTGTCTGACCCTGCTTGCTCACCTGAACCTCCCCCCGTCCCTTCTGCTTCAGCTCCACCCATGGTGTCTGAGTTCATGGCTTCATCACATTTCTCAGACGGTCTTTGTAACACCCACTCCATCGCCTGCCAAAGACGTTGATCGAATGTGGTGTAAAGACCTTCGGCCTCTCTCTCCTCTTCGGTCATATCCCAATATGATTCATGGCCTGACCGCCCCACCTTATCCACAAGCAATTTCAGCTTCTGTCCCAGGTTAAACCATTTTTTCCTGCATTTCTTGGCGGACCTCATCATCCCTTCCTCTTTCATGCACTCAGACACCCACTCTTGTCTCTCCCCCTTCTTCATGCACTTGTGCCTGGCGGACACATCTGCCATCATGGCGTCATCCTCACGTTGCCATTTCGCTAACGCCAAGCACTCCTCAAGCGTCCAAGGCACTATCTTTTTGGCAGGAGTTTATCCTTTACGCATTCCCTCGTTAACTGGTGTCGGGTTGTCATTGGTCTCTTGCCCGCCTACGTCCTTTCCACTCCCACTCGCCTCCGAAGGGCATGCAGGTGGTGGTGGAGTACACCCTCCTCTGCCATGTCCTCCCCGTGTCGGCTGTCTTGCCCGACCGCTTTGTCCACTGCTGTCACTTGTGCCTTGTCGCCCTTCACCTCGCCCCCTTCCATCACCATGGCTGGTCGGTGGCAAGCCGCCACCCAGACGATCGACGGACTCGGACAACCCAACCTCCACTGTGACCTGCTGGGGGGCTGCACGAGAGCACGCCTTCCCTTCACGCACACCACTGCCACTGTCCACGTTCGCCCCCGTCGTCGCATGTAATTGCCCATGCCCCGACGTTCCTCCCTGTGGCAATGTCTTCTGCCCATTCCCAGTTTGTGCCCCACATGTTGAAAAGTCGTTTTGTCCATGGCTGTACACACCGCCATTCCACTGCTGGTTGGATGTCACCCCGTAAGACCGTTGTGGTCCTGACAGATCGTCCACTTACATCTGTCTAGGGAGACCACCAGAGAATGGCTCCTCATACTCCCCGCAAAGTGCCGCTGTGAAACTGCCTGCACCGGTCGTGCTGCCCCCGTGCATGGGCATGTGAGTGGCAGTCGGTTGTGAGTACACAGCGCCAGACAAATTGCCGCGGCCGACCACGCCCCCATGGTCATCTCGAGCATGGTAGAAAGGTACATGACTCGATCGCACATCTCGGAGGCCAGGCGGATCGTTCCTCCATGCCGGCAGTTGCCCAACAGCCGCGGTGAAGGTAGGAGGGACACCGAACTTGTCAGTGTCTTGACTCAGCATGGACAAGTGGGTGGATGGCGGAACAAAGTGCAAGCCCTGATACTGCGCCGATTGTTGGGAACTGTGGCGAGAACCTCCCATACCTCCGTTTTCGCCGTCCTCGACCCAATGTTGTTTGTCCATGCTCACAAAGTAGATGACAATGCAAAAACACCGTGACCTTCGTCCCCTACGAAAAACAGACGAAAACGGCAACGCAAAAGACAAGAGCGAGGAGGAGAACAACACAGGCCAGGAAGATGGCAATGACAAGGATGACCGACAGCCCTAGCATGAAGAGGATTGTGGGATGAAGGAAAATNAACAACACAGGCCAGGAAGATGGCAATGACAAGGATGACCGACAGCCCTAGCATGAAGAGGATTGTGGGATGAAGGAAAATGCAAGGAGTACGGACATCTGTGGAGCTTGCTCCCCTTCCGCAGCAACAACAAATATCATAATGACCTATGTTGCCAGGCAGGTTGATCCCTGACGCCTCTGCCGTCGTCAGTACCGCAGACACACGTGGCTGCAGGGTCGTCGGCTCTTGTGCTGCTGAACCGGTTGCGGGTGGCAACTGACGTGGGCGGAGGACACGTCGGGCCGGAACGGGGGACTGGGAAATCGGGAGATGACACTGACCAATGGCCGATGCGGACTGAGTGAGGAGCCTGCAGCGTGGCACGCATGCAGGTGATGTTTTCGTCTGTCGGGAGGGGAGGACGACCCTGATGACGATGTCCCCACCAACCTCACTGCAGATGGGTGGGCCTCGGGCTGCCACATTCGGGAGACCGCCGCCGCGCTCGCCGGCCTTGTTGCTCGTACCATTCCCAATCGGAGGAAGTAGTCGATGTCAAAGGTACGCTCCGCAAGCTGCTCCTACAACCCGACGATGACATTGTGGAATGTGCGGTGACAGGGCCGCTAGGATTGCATGAACCCTTTGCATGCCTTTGGACAGCCTGAGGTATGGCGCTTGGAATAATCGTGGAAGGTTGGTAACGGCTGCCCGGGTTGTCGCTTGCATGGGACATGCACGGGACAGTCGTCGTTCGAATGCTTGATGCAGTGGATGTCCCTTTCCTGTCTTTTTTTTTTTTTTTTTTTGGTTGCCGTTCACGTCGTGTACAACCCTTTTTGAAATCCTCCCGCACGCCTAACCCACCCACCCTCCTCCTTCGAATTTTGAATTTGAACCGTTGTATGAGATGACGCGCGCCGACAGCGCAAGGTGTTGGACCCTTCGTCGGCCTACGACGGGTCGTTCTCGGTACCCCCCCCCCCCCCCCCCCCCCCCCGAAAAAAAAGACAC